AACCAAGACTGCGGGTAAGTGACCGCCATTGCATTTTCCAGTCCCCATACCGGGGGAATAAAAAACCTGTTTGCTGATTTTCTTCGCAGCTCTCGACAACATTAAACACAACATTCGCGTCAACTGCGTCTCACCGTCATGGGTGGATACCCCCGTGGTGCAGGGCGCCGTTAAGAGTCTTCCGTCGTTAGAAAAGACCATCTCGTCCCACTTACCAATGGGGCGGATGGGGCTCCCGGAGGAGATTGCAGACGTGGTCCTCTTCCTATGCAGCCCGGCTGCGAGTTGGGTCAATGGTACCAACTTCATTGTTGATGGGGCCATGACAGTTGGTCCCTGCAGTCCGGACATGTGATCATCATACTATTAGTGGGCACAGAAGCCAGCCTTAAGGAAAGCCTCGCGGAGTTTAGAGATTTGGTTTATGCGAGGAGAACTTCACCCCTTAATTCTGGTCTTGATTTAGAGAATCAGGGGCAATGTTGGGCACCTATCATGCGGTCAGCCCCTCATATATCAGGCATTCCTTTAGGTAGCTTCATGAATAAAAACAAGAAAAATAACAAGTTCACAAAGATGGTTCCGGGTCTAAATAGTCTAAGGTCCGTGCTTGTAAGACGCTATTGCTAGCGGGATTATCATTTTTAGTCTCGTTCCATTTTGCTTCTACCGAACATTCGGATAAAGATACCCGGCTCGTTGGGTACCTAGGTATGGATCGTCCGTCGTCTATCCCCTATCCCCTATCCCCAAGTTCCTACCTCTCACGACCATACTTCGAGGGCTGAGCAGGTGCATTGTCAAGAATCTTCTCGATCTCCTCCAATACATCCGGTGTTAGCTTATCCACCAACTTAAGAGCTTTGACGTTGTCTTCGATTTGCTCGACTTTTGTGGCGCCGAGAATTACCGTGCTGACATTCGGGTTCTTGAGAGTCCAGGCTAAAGCTAACGAGGCGGTAGTTCCACCAAGACGTTCCGCAATTGCGGTCAGCTTCTTAACCTTCTCAAGCTTCGCCTTACCCTCCTCCGTCTGTAATGACTTGATAGTACCGTCAAAGAAATCTCCGTGTTTGGCGAAACGCGATCCTTCGGGGATACCGTTGTTGTATTTCCCCGTTAATAGGCCAGAAGCGAGCGGAGACCAAATAGTGGTGCCGTACTTGAACTGCTCAAAGAGCGGTGCGTATTCAACTTCGAATCGCTGGCGGTGAAATGCGTTGTATTGGGGCTGCTCGACCACCGGCGCAATGAGATTATATCGCTCTGCGATCTGGATGGCTTCCATGATCTGGGTAGCACTCCACTCTGACGTACCCCAGTAATAAGCTAGGTTAAGGTTTCGGATGACTTGAGTGAAGCCCTCCACGATTTCTCTCATGGGTGTAGCATAATCGGGGCGGTGAGCGAAAACAACGTCAACGTATGGTTGTTGCAGACGTTCGAGGGAAGACTTGAGACCCTCAACAATATGTTTTCGGCTAAGTCCGCGAGTGTTGGGCTCCTTGCGACCGGTACCGAAGAAGATCTTAGTGGTAAGGACATACTCGTCACGAGGCCAGTCAAGTTCTTTCAAAGCGTTACCCATCTCCAGCTCAGACTCTCCCGAAGCATAGGTCTCTGCTGTGTCAAAGGTGTTGATACCGTGGTCCCAGGCGGTCTGAAGGCACTTTTTGACAATCTCGCCCTTCTCAGTACCTCCATAAGTTAACCATCCACCCAAAGACAGCACGCTCACCTTCAGACCCGTTGGGCCGAGATGGCGGAACTGCATGTCCTTGGGATCATATGCGGACCTTACGACTGGCATTGTGGCTATTCTTCTTGAGTACTGTAACTGGTTTCTGGGGATGATGGCTGAGAACCTGTGAAATCTACGAGACATGAGGGGAAGTGGAAATTTATTTGTAGGCATCTTTTTTAAATTATGCAATGGCAAGAACAATTGAATGGGTTAAGATAGCAGTATAATAATAGTCATTCGGCATGGCGTCAGTAAGATACTTATCCCCATTAACCCTCCCGAGGTATCTTACCATAGCTTTTTCTATGCAAGTGTACATTTGCTTAACAATCCATTTTGCTTTTCATAACTCCGATACTTGTATCTCGTTATCTTAGGTACCTATTAATTGACTTCTCCTACTTTATTAAAAACCCTGAAAGCCATGACGCAATTGAGTCTCCACTAAGACTAGCATCAAGTTATTGTCCATGCTACTACGAGAATAGGCAAAAGCCGGTAGCGTCATCACTAGTATGGAAGCTATCAGTCAGTTGCGCCGACCAAGTCTGCTTAGGGCACATGGAAGTGGTTGTAACTTAGGTCCCAATAGCGCCGTGCTTCCAGTTATAAGAGTAACTACCGCAAGTATTATATATTCGAGTTTTTACGTTAATAATGCTACGTTGAGATATTATTTGGATTCGTATGACAGTATCCTAAGTACATGTTCAATGAAATGATTTTTCCAGAGCTGGAAGGGAAGTCGATATGAAATATTCCGGGTTTATAAGCCTAAAATCTACCTAGGTACCTGCCTACCTACCTACGGTCTAAGTACGTTAATAAGCCTCCATCTGCTCCGCATGACAAAAAGAAACCAAAATCTCGTAAATACTCTTAAGTCCGTGTGTAGGTATTAATTAATAACGTCGCATGCAATATGGAGCGAGATTGCGCCGAAAGAGTCATATATTCACTCGACTGACTTCAAAGCAGCACGAGTGTGTATCTTGTAATATACTTTAGGTCTGATATAAAACCTCACCATTGCTTTTTTAATGCCATTGTAGAACTCGTATCCTTCATATCACGTAAGAAGAAACAAAATTGTGGTTAACTACTTAAATTAACTTATTCAATACAATAAAAGCCAAGAGAATATCTTATTCAACGACTTAAGTACTCCAAAGAAGAACCTGGCGGTTTCTAACCGTGAGTCCTTTATCCATTTTGGACTATATATCGCGAATATCTACTTGCTTAAGTGTTCTTCGTAATGTTCCTTCTTATGGTTGAAGGGCGAACTATCATTGGCTACCACGGGCATGGTAAGCACTTTTGCCGCATTATATGGGTCTATTATAGGAGGAGCTCTTTGGCCTTAGTAAAAGGTAAAGCGGCGGAAGTCCTTAAGGTCTGGTTAGAATTAAGGTGAGATCGTGTCCCGATTCGAGCCACGGATCTTCAAAACCACCTCTTATAAATACCTATCTTACAACGTCGACTGCCAACATTGCATTGATGATCCGCCAAGGATGCATGAAACAAGCTTCAACCTAAACAGAGTATGGAGATAGAATACATGTGGTGACACAAACGAAACGATATAGATTCATTCGCCGTACGTTCTGTTACAATGCTACCCCATACCTAGGTACCTTTTGTGCCCAAGGTTTTTCGTATCCTAAATTCTCTAGAAGATGATAGGTCCATATGCTTATCATTGAACAAATAGCTCTATGCAGTCAGTAACGTGAGGTATTTTGTCGAGCAATCAAGTTCCTAAACCCGCATATCTTCCTGTGAATCAATATTTTATTACTTTTGCTGCTTCTTCTTCCATGGCACGTAGTTGAGGTGAAATTGACTACGCTGTCCAGGTATACAAGATTGTGGGACAATAAGGGAGTCCGAAATGCTCCTATACCGAACCCGTAAAATGATCGAAGTAACCATCTTACTTCCTGCCCCATTCATATTTCTCTGAAAGTGCAAGCGAGCCGGCTACTTTTCCTTGAATTCCGCACTATTGCTCGCCGCCAGATTCGCCGCCAACCCCTATACTAGCTAATCGCCCCGACTATAAAGTAGGAGTATGTCTTTTGTCCTTACTACCTGTCAGAATTCTATATAAGGCATCTAGAACAAATAATACCGTTGGCATGTATGGTCGTAGGCTGCCGTAGCTATTTTATAGTTCCGCACGGAGCAACGAAATAGTTTCCGTGCTGTTTGGTTCTATGTCAAGGTATAGTGGGTCAGGGGTATATCTACTATATAAGAGGCGTGAAGCGCCCTCGTAAGAGAATAGAAGGCCAGGCGTTACTAGTTCAATACTATTTATTACTTGGTCTATGTAGACACTCCCTCTGCGTATGACTAACATCAACGGGTATTAATCCTGACATTCTACCTCGTGACACCCATAACCCCTAACATTTAATTGCCTTATAGCAAACAGAGCCTTGTATTTAATCCGTATAATTACTAGTTTAGTATTCCAAGATCCTCTCTTTGAAATGCCTACAGACCGAACGAATTCACCACTGTTATATTATTATCATATAAGCCCACCACGATCCAGTCGTCTCCAGTGACAGCACCGTGAAACCCGCTGCCAGGAGGGACGCAACCATGCGAGTCATGGGCAGTATCTTTTGCTTCAGAATCGAAGCCATCAGGCTTTAGACCCAATTCCCCACCATCATCGTCCGCGGCATTTCCAATTACGCAGATTCACATAAGAGTAACGATGGGCAACATTTTGTGGCGGCTGCTGCTGTTTTCTACGAAGGGCTAATTTCTTATATAGACCCGGAAAATAGTCATACTGTTCTGGAATCTAGATACGTCAACAATAAAGATATTAAATGTCCTATTTTCAAGTAGCTACGCAGATACAAAAATCAAGAGTTCATCATCGAGCAAAGCTACCTAAGTTGCATATTTGCTTTCTCAAATAGTCACCGTTGATCTTCTACACTATTTAAAAGTTGTAACCCTTAAGATAAGAGGTAGATAATAGCGTCGAATCAGATATTTCAAACAGGTACATATATGGTTGACATATCACTTAAGTACATTAGGTAGGTACCTAGGCAAGTTCTATGCAAGTGATCAGCCGATGGCCACCATAATCGGGCACCAAGTGGCTGCTTATCGGGGTCAGTCCTCACCCCTCTTCCGATGCATTCTTCGATTCATTCTAGCAGACCTCAATCACCACGTGTAGTTCTTCGGAACTTATAAACGACACGAGATCTTACCAAATACAATGACGGATCATACTTATCAATCTACTTTCCGCGGGCAAGGAATTCAAAATCAGGGTTCAGGAAATGTGACTGTTGGCAGAGACTTTAGGATTGGTTCGTAGCAAGTATCGACTTCCATGTTTTATCACTAACAAACAGAAAAGAAACTTCAAAAAACAACTGTCTCGCCGATTTATTCTTGACTGACCCCCGCCATGATAAGAAACGCATCGAACAGACAAAAGGCGGCCTGCTACGCGACTCATACTGCTGGGTCCTTAATCACGAGGATTTCTTGCGATGGCGTGACGACGAGGGCGGCCGTTTACTCTGGATTAAGGGTGACCCGGGGAAGGGCAAGACCATGCTCCTCTGCGGCATTATCGACGAGCTGGAGAAACAGACTGCCAACACCGACCAGATCATATCTTTCTTCTTTTTTCAGGCGACAGACACCCGTCTGAACAGTGCAATAGCTGCATTACGCGGTCTTATCTACCTCCTCGTCGACAAACAGCCATCCCTTATTTCACATATACAGGAAAGGTACGACCGCGCAGGAAAGGGGCTATTCGAAGGTGTAAATGCTTGGTTTTCATTGCACGGTATCTTCGAGAGCATACTGCAGGACCCAAAACTTCCAAATACCATATTGGTGGTCGATGCCCTTGATGAATGCGAGACGGGTCTCCCACTACTCCTCGAACTGATTGCTAACTGGCCTGTCCAATCCCGGGTTAAATGGATCATATCTAGTCGTAACAGGCGAGATATCGAAGAGGAGCTAAGCATTACTACATCATATGTCAGGCTATTATGCCTCGAACTTAACGAGTCATCCGTTTCGACAGCTGTCAGTAGCTACATCGAATACAAGGTGGACGAACTATCCAAGAAGAAAAGGTACTGGGGGGGATTACGTGATGAAGTCCTGAGCTACTTACATTCGAATGCGAATGATACCTTTCTTTGGGTGGCCTTGGTGTGTCAAGCGCTTGCAAGTCCCAAAGTCAGGCTTCGCCATACGCTTAGCCGACTGCGCGGGTTCCCACCTGGACTCGATTCTCTCTACAGTCGTATGATGGACCAAATCGCCATGTCTGAAATGTCTGAGGACGTAGAATTATGTCGGCGCGTTCTAGCTGTCATGTCGGTCGTATACCGGCCCCTTGCTTTACAAGAACTAGCATCTCTTATCGAGTCAATCACGGACTCAGCTAACAACCACGAGGCTCTGGAAGAACTCATCAAGCTTTGTGGCTCATTTCTTGTTCTTAAAGAGGGGATTATTTTCTTTGTACACCAGTCCGCAAAGGACTATCTTGTCAAGAATGCGGCCAGCAGGATATTCCCTTTAGGTACAGTTGCCGAACATCATGCTATCAGTCTAAGGTCACTCGAGTCCATATCAGGAGTCCTTCGACGTAATATTTATGACCTAGATGATTGGGGATTGCCCGTAAACCAAGTGAGACCACCACATCCTGACCCATTAGCGGCCGTGCGGTATTCTTGTATCTACTGGGCTATCCACATGGCAGAGTGCCAGTCCGATAATCAGGCACAGCATGGCAACCTTCAAGATAATGGGGCCGTTCACAAATTTATACAAGGACATTACCTTCACTGGCTCGAAGCTCTCAGTATTCTCAAAAGTGTACCGCAAGGGATTTCGGGAATATCAAGATTAAATAGACTACTTCTCGTAGGCATATAATCATGAAACTTGTAGAAAGATAAACTAATTCTCTAAATAGGGAAAAGCCACGAAGCTTGAGGAGCTTATGCATGACGCATACCGGTTTATTCGACATAGCAAACCCGCAATCGAGATTAGTCCGCTCCAGGTATATGCGTCAGCACTTCTTTTTAGCCCTTCGCAAAGTGTAATACGAAAGCTATTTCGGGACGAGAAATACCCATGGATAACTTTAGAACCAGATGTCGAGGTTCAATGGAGCGCGTGCTTAGCAACCTTTGTGGGCCATAGCACGGCAATCGTCTCAGTAGCCTTTTCGTCCGACGGCAACAGGCTGGTGTCGGGTTCCTGGGACAATACGGTAAAGGTATGGGATGTAGAGACAGGCGCGTGCATAATGACCCTTAGAGGTCATCAGCGTAATATCAATTCAGTGGCCTTCTCTCCTGATGGGAGCCGGATAGCATCAGGTTCGAGCGATAATACCGTAAGGATATGGGACTCCACAATGGGAACATGTTTGACAATCCTAAACCATGAACACTGGGTTGCCTCGGTAGCCTTTTCGCCCGACGGGATCAGGCTGGCATCAGGCTCGTGGGATGGACACGTGAAGATATGGGGTTTTGAAACAGGCTCGCCTTTAGCAGCCTTTGAAGGTCACAGCAATTTGATCAACCCGGTATCATTTTCGCCCGACGGATGCAGACTGGCATCAGGCTCGGAGGATGGAACAGTGAAGATTTGGGACGTGGCGACACGCGCATGTTTAAAAACTATCAACAGCGAGGTTTACGTTTACTCGGTAACATTTTCACCCGACGGAACCAGGTTAGCATTTAGTTCGGAAAGTTCTACAGAGATATGGGACACCAGTACGGACGCGTATTTAGAGATCACTATAGGCGACAGGGATAAAAGTTATTCGGTAGCCTTTTCGCCTGACGGGAGCCAGCTAGCAACGGTTTCGGATAACACTACCGTAAAGTTATGGGACGCCACAACGGCTACGTGCTTAGCAACCTTCTATGGCCACAGCGGTCGGATCGATTCATTGGCATTCTCTCCTAACGGTCAGCTAGCATCAGGCTCATCCGATAAGACAATTAAAATATGGGACGTAACAATGAGCGCAGAATCAACCTTTTGGGGAAAACATGACAGTTATATTCACCATTTGGTTATCTCGGACGACGGCGCCTATTTAGCATCGGCTTGTCCGCATACGGCGAAAGTATGGGATACAACAACAGGCAGGTGTCTAGCAAGCTTTACAGAGGAATACCAGACGATTAAGGACATAAAATTCACGCGTGAAGGGGACGGTCTTAATATATCTTTATATTATAACGACTACAAGCAGTTTGTCCCCCTCCCACCGCGCCTTCCTAAAATAGCACCGCGGCCTCCCAATGATTCCAGGCTAGAAGAACCAGATTATGAGGCAGAATGGATTAAATGCGATGGCAAGAATGTCATTTGGCTGCCTTCCGAGTATCGGCCTTACTGTTCAACCATGAGGGCACAGACAATTGTAGTCGGTTGCCGTTCCGGTCGGTTTTGGATGTTAAACTTTTGTTTCCCATAACGTCACAACGCGGTCCCGTATTACCCCTTGCCAACTATCCCACGGGCGTAAGAGGAAAGACTTTATGCCAGAAATACCACAAAAGACTGGTAGCGATGGTGATCGGAATCGCAAACACCCAGTAAATCCAGAACTTGCTCGATACGTTCCACGAGTCGGAGTCGGCTTGGAAGTCGAAGAACGACATGCTAAAAACGGCGGAGAGGAAAGTAGCTGGCAAAAACATCATGGTGACGAAAGCAACTTTCCTCATTGATGCGCCATCTAACTGCGCAGCGCGTCCAATCTGGACCGAAATCCCCGCGTCGTACTGGGCAACAGTATTAAATGCAAGTTGAATCTCGTTCTGTAACCTTTCACGATTAGAGATGGACCGGTGGCGGAGGTTGTTAAGCATATGTTTGCAGAAAAGCAGCTGGCGGTGGACGGCTTCCGAGGCGTCGGTCTGTATCATCGGGGTTGGGAAGTTCTGGCTTAAGAATTCATCGTGCTGTTCCAGAATACCTCCCATGCTTTCAGCAGCAACATTGAGAGACTCGGTTACGTGGATAGCGTGTCGAGCGACATCGTGAAGATGTCTGTAGTCCGGCTGTGGCTTGCCTATCGGCTTCCTCTCCGTCTCTATTGCCCTCACCTGGTTACGAATGGCCCAGACGGCAGAGTCTTGGAGGTCCACCACGTCGCTGGCTAACCGGGCGTAAACCCAAAACGGATCACCGAGACAGTTGGAGTCCGGATTCTGAAGCGAATCCGGTATGCGCTCTACGATCGGAGACCGCGTATCGAAAGCGAGTATGATTGTCTGCTTTGTAGGGGCCAGCCATCGTATAAATATGTTCATTTTATGCCATTGATACTGCATCTTAGCATCCAAATGCTTAACCTCGAAATAAGCCCACGTACCTACAACGAATTAGCATCCAGTGAAATTAAGTATAGTAAAGGCTATGAACATACTGAACCCCGTGATAACCCCATTATGTCTACTTATATCACTTCCAAGATACCCATTCGAGTTTCGGCAGTAATCTGACCACCATATCGGAGGAATAGAGAATGCCTTGGTGAAAGAATCTCGGCACGAGAGACATGCGCGAATCTCGTTGGCACTCGCAAGACTTAAAGCTTGTTAATTATCTCACTCGTCACTCGAGGATCACTTGCTAACATTATACAAATCTGTGATTCTGCGTATATCGCCTGGCAACCATCATTGCTATGGAATTCATTGCTATAAACCCGGCGCTGATGCCAATGGTTATTCGCTGCGAGATACATATGTAAGCGAGGCCTCACCTGTCAGATGTGATGGCGTACCTGAATTCCACTGAAGTACGGAGATAGCAGAGCACCCCCGACAGCTGACTTGAGACATTATAATAACGTCGAAACGCTAATAAGAGCAGCTAGGAATTCCAAAGTCAACTCAAACAGTCGTCCTAAAGTTTACGAGATATAAAGTAGATATAAAACGCGAAGCAAGGCTGAACAGGCCAAATGAAGTGGGCTTTTTACAGTTTCCAGCTTCCGCCACGATGCTCCAGTGACAAGCCATAAAAAACGCCTTCGGTCCGGGTTGGCATAAAGATGCATGATAGGCGAACCACGTATTAATCAAAACTCGTACGTAGTGAGGTTACCAATCGAGAAGCTCATAGAAAGGATAACTACCTAAGGTACCACATAAACGATGCTTTTATATTTCGCGGAAATGATTTGCTTAATCAATTTTAACCACAATGAAGTTATGGGCGCGCTTCGTTATAAGGGTAAATCGGCATTGAATGTAAGTGGTACATATAGCTGGATCTTATCAAGTTATGCGAATATTACAGGTCATAAATGCTGCTGCAACAATTCCTTGTGGTCACGGCGGCTATGTTATTCCTAGATATGCAGAAGCGGTATTGAATAATTCAGATTAAGCACGTCTTACATAACCCCATACCGCCGCTTCGATCGATTCTCATCAGTTGAACCCGGACTTCAGTCTTCAATAATTATACTCTCCTTACTATAACCCAGAAGCCACGCATCGAACCAAGCTTTCTCGTTGTTCAGTTTGCGCTAGCGACTCAAGATAGCCCTACGACCCCGTGTAAACCCGACACGAGCTTCATGCTAGGGGTACCTTCTCCCCGATAACCCCTGATTCGAAAACTTAGAATTGATTCAGGTTAAAGGAATTAATAACGTATATAACTTGGCTCATAACAATTCACATATTATTCCTTTGGGTTTATATTTGTCTGATAAACTTACAAGATTATAGTGCTAGTTAATTATTTGTTGATGGTTGATATTACCTGACTACTAGCGTAACGTACATTGTAACAACCACATCAGTAGTAGATACCAAATCAATTCAATACAGCCCTGGCAAGACTTGGGGTCAACATGTAGATATTACCTATATCACCTATACACTTAGTAAATCAAACCTTTCTTACTGCCCGGTCAAAAGCCTTGATATAATAGAAGAGTATCCAGGTACTCGTCTGCTAAACTACAAAGCCATCAATACTCTAGTAACTCCAAGTTGTTTCTAGTTTATCATCATCAACTCTTGTTAGCATGTTATGATCACGGAGGACAGAAGCTCGCTCTAATCTTCATAGCAGAGGTTGAGGGTGGTTTATGTAGTAAGGGGCGCAAGACACGACATTTGAAACTGGGCTGGGCTTGTAGTACTATAACCTTCTATATATCCCTTTAACACTATCACGATGTTATGAAGCTAAAAATGCCCTCTAAAGAAAATGATTCGAGCTGTTAGCGTGCCCCTTTGAGGTCTACGAGCGCCCAATGAACTATTGTTTCATCTAACCACCCAGGCTTATTGCTAGTTTCCATGTCCAGGACACCGTTGAAGGTAACAACTATCCAGTACCGGTACAAATTCAAGAGACGCATATCACGAGGTGTACCAAGAAGACATACAACCAGCTTTATCGTTCTGCAAGGAACTCTAATTTAAACTATGGAAGCCTGTGGCTAAAATCGTAACAACGCCAAAATCCCACCTTCAAGGATCCAGTCTGAGATTCATAGGTTTGGTTAATAATATCAGTATCACTTTCCTTAAGCGGCTCCTACTTTAAATAGAATAGACCTCAGGCTATCAATCCTCGTGAGCACATCGGTGTTGAATTTAAATATGAACTAGGACTACTAGGTATTACAAGTTGAGGGGGAAGAAAGACAGAAAAATACTATCAGTAGCATTTTCATAACCAGAATTAACGAAAGGTAATTCGAAGTAGCGAGAGTCACTAGTTATATCACCACGGGGAACATAGGTTTAACCACGTCGACACCATTGATATATGAATAGAGACTCCTCTTGATAGGTGTCTTAGGGGTTCTAGGTTAAACTTCCAAAGATTTGATCTGGTAAGACATCGCCTAAGTTTACCTAAAAGCGCACTTAGTTTATAATTATGAAATGAAAAAGTATATAGGATTGTTATTCTACCCAAATAACCGGGCATTAGGTTAAGAGCTACTTTACACATACGCTTACACATCGTCACGGATACTTATAACTTTCCTTCAATCTCCCAAAGTGGCTTTCCCCATGGGATAAGGTTTGTAAAGAAAATTTTCTAGACCGGGGTTTTATTATTTACTTTGAAGTTTTGTTTAACTATCATATACTACATATAAGCGTCCTGGACAATTTAGACTAAGAGTAGAAGTATCTACCAAGTTGGAGCGCGACGCTTAGGTACACATCGCAAGAATACTACGCTCATCGACTCATTGATAGACTCTCATAATAAGGTCGTTTAAATTCACCTTTTCAAAATGGAAAGTTAATATATCTACCACCTATAAGAGCAGCCCTGTCTCACCATGAAATCTAAACGAGAATTGAACAAAGAGCGCTTAAATAAGGCCGCCAAACCTTAACAAATGACACTTCTGAATCTTGAACTATCCGACTAGTCTTGAACTATTCGATTGATGGCTCGTGCACCACTTAAGAGACTAACAATTACGAGACATGAACTAATGTAGCGACACATGAAATATCATCTCTCTAAACCTTGAACATTGGCGAGGCTCATCATAAGACAGCTAAGTTTAGTGGTGAGATGCCGAACCATGTTGAAGAGCGCGTCAGCCCTAGCAACAATAAAAATCCTCCCATAGACGCGTCATACCTATCAGACAGACCGTCCCGTTTCAGCTTTGGTTGACCTGGGAGGCTTAAATCCGTAATGAGCAATCCATGAGCAGTGGCCATATTTAGATAGCTTCAAGGCAGACGCCGAGAATCTGAATCACACGATTTACTTTCCACGTCTTCATACACTAGCATTCGACCATCTACCTTGATACATACCTACATGTACATACATAATATCAAATACGTACCTAACCCCCTGAGGTCCGTGGCGGTGGTGGCTCGGTCTACCACCCCCGGATATTACAATACGGTCCTGCAATCAACGCGCACGAGCCCGAAAAAAGCCGTGCAAAACCGAACGCTCGCAAAAGGAACGAATTGCAACACGAGATCGAACTGAAAAACTTCGCCTTCGCCCGAAGACCACGCGTCGACAAAGAGCCGGAAATGCAAACCCTGATTAACCCCACAGGCAAGCGAAGCTGGTGAATACGTAGTAGTAATTTGCATATGATTTATTACTTTTTCCCGCCATGATAATGTGTAGGTAGGTACTATGTATTATTAGAACCCTTTCCGCCGCTCGTTCTTCACCCGGCTTTTCTCTCGCCCATGGCATGTGGTTGGTGGATTGGCTTGGGTATCATTGCATCATGGATTCGCTGGCCTTGGACTCCGGGGGAGGGAAACCCGTTCCAACAACGCGGACGTCCCCCTCTTTCTATCGGGATCTCTGTGGCGAGAGATCGATTGCTATTTAAAAAAAAAAAGGTGAAAGGCAAAAAGAAAAAAAAAATACAAGTCAAGAAAAGGATGAATCTAACGTCAGGAATCACAAAGGGAGCCTCCTCAACGTCATAGGACCTTAAGCCTTACGGCTAGTGGCTGATTTCTTACTAACTTGGGACTGAGCAGGCCGAAAGGAATAACGCGTGAGTGGTATGTATGAGCGCATAATACGCTTGGTAGGGCGCAAAACCCACAGGGGATCAACCCGCCGCGTCCGATATGTATGTGCGTCAGCAAAGCTCTAACGAACTTGGGATCGTTCGTACGTTAGTAATAAATTAGATGCTAATGTTAAGCCATTCCAAGGTATATACATGCACATGTCGCGGTAGCGAGCATATCCTTGAATTATTTGCGACGTCAAAGTGTACAGCCTACAATGGGATTCTGAACCAATTCCACATGGTTAAAGTTCCTAGCTCCTTATTTTTCCTTAGTTAAGGGTCCTGTTGTGTCGTATCTAAAGTTAGGATATCTCATACGAAGTAAGGGAGGGTCGATGCGAGATTTCCTGGCACGAAAATCGGATACATCGACCGCTAGAAAGCAACTGTAGCTGTGTAGCAACAATTGCTCAATGATGCGGTGTGGTAGGGGTCACTGCTTCTTCATGGCTTGGATGGAATATTGGGGATCGTGAATAATTCAGCCCGTTGTGCGGAGTTGCCTTGTCTTGGCCTCGGGGGGCGCGTCGCCGCAAGGGTGCTGATCGCGAGGCGAGGTTTTGCTACAACACTAATGCAAGCTCTTTACAGTTGTAACCAGTAGCTTTATTCCGGAACTGATTGTGAGTATGACAAGAAGAGATTTATGTGGTAAACAAGTTTATGTTGGCCTTTACCGTCGGTCCACTTTAGCTCACGATGTCGTACTGAATTGCTGGCCATATTAATAAATTCTTCGTGCCTACCGTCCCATGGTAATCTTCCGCAAAGGCGGTTAGTTTTTTCGGTGATACGACCAGTTGTAATCTAGTTTATGTTGGGTTAGAAAAATAGGGAAGAAAAGAAAGCCATATCGACTACCTCGATGCATTGTCTCGTGTAAATGATCCGCCAGAGCGGCCGACCCTGGAAGTGTACCTACCACCCATCTGGATTTAGGAATGGGGTACGAACAAGGACCTGTCTTGCCTATCCATTCCAATATCGACGATGCATGTACTAATCTAGGACTCCTGTGGGTGTCAGATTTGGGTAGGTGGCGATGGGACTGGTGACTCAGTGGGGGAGCGAGAATTTGGTGATGGACACATCAGCCAGATCAACAGTGACAGAGGCCATGTTAGGGCCGGAGAGACGGGCAAATAATGCGACGGCTTCCACATGAAAAGTGTTGGATAGGCGCCGTGCTAGGCGCCTCCCTTTCCCCAAGGGATGAATCATTGTGAGCTTGGTGGATCGTGGCGGGACAAACGATTTTGTATGGACGCTAGCATCTTGAATTGCAGGGAGGAATCTCTGGACATGGGAAGACCGTGGGTTATGCAGCGTGGGTTGTGGGCTCCGTTTGGGTAGGCTGGTGGCTGCGTTCCCTCCCCGACTGTGAGAGAATCTCTCAAATGGGTGGTTTGGATGCTGCAGGTCTGCAGAAGCCAGGGTTTCCGCAATACGACATATGTCTTAGATGCGGAGACTTGATCGTGAGGGGTTGCGAAGGCTTCCACTTATATTCCGAAGGCTGTTCACACCGCTAGAATGGGCACTCATCTAGCGCTGCATTCAACTACTCCTCGGTTACCCTATCAAACTATGTCATATCAA